ATTTATTGTTGGACATATTTTCGCTCCGGGGAAGTGCGCCCCCGCCCCCCCCCCCCCCGCCCCCGAGATATAGCTGAAAGAAACACTGGCAGTAATGCAACCATTCTACAATATTCCGTTTGTGGCCGGGGGCACTAAATTCACTTTCCCCTTAATATTAGCTATATTAGCTATAATTTCCTAATGCGTTCCTATACCAAAAATCCGATTGCGATAAACTTTGGTCAATTGATATGTGCCCGCCCGAAAAGGTTTCTAAATTTAATTAGCACAACCATTTTAAAACATTCCGTTTCTGGCCGGCGGCCCTTATCTTTTTTCTTTAATGAGCTATATAAATATAATTTCAAAAAGAACTCAAACATTGGTGGATGGAATATTAATAATATACAAATAGCGACATTGAAATTTGTGTGTGACATGATAAGTAGGTTTATGAATTAGTATAACCATTTTACAATAATCCGTTTGGTGTCAGGGGCCCTAATTTTGCGTTTTTGTATTACATGAGCTAATATGCATTAGGTCTGTTCAAAATTATATTTTTATTAGCTGGATGGAATTTAATCAAGTAAAAACATCGTTATTTCCATTTGTTTGTGACATAATTTAGTAGGTTTATGAATTTGTAAAACCATTTTGCAATATTAAGTTTTTGACCGGGAGGCCCTAAATTTTTTGTTTACCCCCTTTTCTAAGCTATTTAAATATATATCTAATTTCCAAATGCGTTCGTATACAATTCATCTGATTGCAATAACAGTTTGGTAAGTTGTCATGTACAAGCTCGCAAAATGTGTCTGAATATTTGAGCTATGTAAAAAATATAATTTCTAACAGAACTATTGCATGGGTAGATGGCATTGAATCAAATACAAGCTGTGACATTTCAGTTTGCATGTGACATAATAAGAAAGTTTCTGAATTAGTGCATCCATTTTACCCTATTCCTTTGGGGCCGGGGGCCCTAAATGTATTTATATGTACTCAAGGAGCTACATAAATATAATTTCAAACATAGCTATTGCATGGGGGGATCAATCGCTACAAGTGTTTAGGATAAATTTACTCGAGTACGCAACAGACAGTAAAAACAAAATATTGTGTATATAAAAAGTACTTCAAAAACATAATTAAAACACAAACACTTTATTTCTATTAGCACAATTCAGTTGCTGCCGACGGAGACTACTTCTAAGCTAAGTGCTATTTTTTAATTTTATTCAGTTTTTTTCTGTTGTTTTGTTCGATGACGAAGGGTTCCTGCCGACACGTTCGTTGTTTCGTTGCGTTCCTTTTTTTCAGGTATAACCCTACTTTGTTTTACCAATTTTATATTTTGCTAACCTGATAGTACTCTCTCCCCTTATTACCCTATACTTGAAGTGGTAACTTTGCAAAGTCAAAAACAGTGTGGGGAGGGGGGCAGCTAAACTTTTACTACACACTATATAAATCTACCTATAGGACAATTTTGGATTTAGCATTTAGGACAATCTTGCTCTCAACAAGGCATTTTGTGTGTGTGTTGGCGAGGAGGGAAAGTGGCTCTTGATTTTCTCCGGTCGGGGATCAACCCTAGAGCTCAATTCTAGAGCAAGGAAAAATGGCGGGTACAGTTTTAGGAGAATAACACTATTTCCAATAACACAAAGGTGTTGTAGACGTGAAAATCCGATTATAGATTCTTTTTAAGATATTAGACTTAAAAAATTATATACTTCACCATATTACAACTTATAAATTAGGGGTGAGGTAAAAAGGTGGATAGATTTGTTTAAAATAAAGATACCAATATATCAAAATCCATTAATATTTCAGTCGTGAAAATTGGTAAGAAAATGTTTTCATATTTTAATTTAAAAATGAAGAAAATGTAAATATGTTTGTACCATTTTTTCGACAATATGATATTTTTATAGTTCAAAGACGTGTAAAAGGTAACAGTCGTAACAGTAACGTAAACTATATAGATGATTCCCATTTCTCAAAAACCAATGATGCTAGAAAAGAATAGCCTATAGTCTATTTGTATATTGTTACTTAAAAAAAAAATAATGAGCTATCTGATTTATTTCATCCTACCACTTATCAAATAGACCCCAAATATTTCAAGGGTGTGGAAAGGGGTCGGTATATTATTAATTATTTCACAGCATGTCTGGATTACATTACAAACATGAAAATTAGGTTTTAGAAGCGGGTATTCGTGTTAAAATGCAATGGGACATTTAGATTTAATAAATAACACCGGAACATTCTCAATAGCAGAACTATTATAAGGAACCATGTTTTGCATTATACCCGGGTCGTACGTTTCTAGTTTATGACAATAAGTAGCATGTCGTCTCTTACTATGAAGAAAAGTATCGCCCGTAGCGGACGGCCTGTCAATGAAGTAAGTGAGCTCGCCCGAAAAAAAAAGTATTTTTAAATGTTTACTAATATACATTTCTGTATATAACTTGTAGACATACTTTAACATGTTAAATCTATTTTAAAGCGCACTCTGTTGAACCTGCCTGCACTAATTACATTCAGTAAACATAACCAATACTAGAAAGGGGAATTAACTGGGGTAGAGCGAGGTAGAATTCAATGGCGACTCTGCTGTATCTCTAAGTACACTATTGACCTGTTTTACTTTAAAAAGTGTTCTCACTCTGTAACAAAGCCGATCGTTAGTCAAAGTCGTCACTCTACTTGTATCTTAAAAATGCGACTTTATCACTTGAAAGAAGAGATGGGAAACTAATATGAATATTATATGTGTACCAGGAGATGATGGCTTGGTCACGACAGTGGGATGCATGTCCCAGGAGATGATGGCTTGGTCACGACAGTGGGATGCATGTCCCAGGAGATGATGGCTTGGTCACGACAGTAGAATACATGTCACAGGAGATGATGGCTTGGTCACGACAGTGGGATGCATGTCCCAGGAGATGATGGCTTGGTCACGACAGTGGGATGCATGTCCCAGGAGATGATGGCTTGGTCACGACAGTAGAATACATGTCCCAGGAGATGATGGCTTGGTCACGACAGTGGGATGCATGTCCCAGGAGATGATGGCTTGGTCACGACAGTGGGATGCATGTCCCAGGAGATGATGGCTTGGTTATGACAGTGGGATACATGTCCCAGGAGATGATGGCTTGGTCACGACAGTGGGATACATGTCCCAGGAGATGATGGCTTGGTCACGACAGTGGGATACATGTCCCAGGAGATGATGGCTTGGTCATGACAGTGGGATACATGTCCCAGGAGATGATGGCTTGGTCATGACAGTGGGATACATGTCCCAGGAGATGATGGCTTGGTCATGACAGTGGGATACATGTCACAGGAGATGATGGCTTGGTCATGACAGTGGGATACATGTCCCAGGAGATGATGGCTTGGTCATGACAGTGGGATACATGTCACAGGAGATGATGGCTTGGTCATGACAGTGGGATACATGTCCCAGGAGATGATGGCTTGGTCATGACAGTGGGATACATGTCACAGGAGATGATGGCTTGGTCATGACAGTGGGATACATGTCCCAGGAGATGATGGCTTGGTCATGACAGTGGGATGCATGTCCCAGGAGATGATGGCTTGGTCATGACATGTAAAGTATGAAGGGGGTCGGGATCCGACTTTTTTTTTCTTTTATAGTGGGGTGGAAATTTGGACAAATTGTAGTTTTTTACTTGGACGAGGGTGGCAAAAAGCTTTATCCGCCTAGGTGGCAGGAAACTTAGCTACGCCACTGGTGGGATATCCCAATACTGTGCTCACTTTTTAGGCTAACAATCAGATGGACTAAATGGATGAATGGAGGAAACACACACCAGACCTTACAGAAATACAGGCCCCTTAAGACAGATCGCCCATGAAGACCACATAGACAGACCCTAGAAACAGCTCCACCAGACCCAGACAGTCCAAGCTAGATCTTAAAGAAAAACACAGACAGACCAGAACAGACTTACAAACCCACAGACATACAACCCCTCCTTTTGGAAAGCTTCCATATGCAGACCCCGACAGACATATCTGACAAACAGACATCACTGTCAGACTTCAGAAATAGCTCTCATAGACAGACCCGTCAGATGTTTCCCAAAGACAGACATCTCAGAAGACACTGATAGACAGAAGTAAAAGTTGGAACAATAGAACTGTATGGAATATTTTATTGAAGAATTCATTAACTTAATTAGTGAACCATTTGCAAAGACAACTGTAAAAGACCATTATTTTAATTCAATTTTGTATTATATTTATTCACAAAATTAAAACAATATGTATCTTAACAGGCTATTCAGGTTAAACATAAAGACACAATGGAAACTAGGACTATGGTCAGTCTAAAAAAATAACATATATGTCAAAGAATTTTTAGTTGGGAATTAGAAGAGACAAATATTTCTTAATTTCGTTATAAAGTCTGTTGGATAAGATCATGATAATAAATACTGAGCAAGTCCCTTGTTTTTTGTAAACATTGTTACAACAGAGAAAGTTGGAATCTATGACTATGATTAGAATAAGCAAATTTACCTTTTAAAAATCAATATCAATCATTACAGAATTACTGTAAATACAAATCATTATTTAAAAAAAAAAAAATGCTAAAATAATAGATTTGAGTTCCCTCCCTTTGTCATTTCACTTATTTAATAGCAAACACATAGAGTAGGTCAACATTTAATTGAAATTCCAGTACCCGGTGGATCACATAATATTTTTTAGCATTATCTGAAAGGTCTAAATTTGTATTTTGTCTTATAATTTAAAACGTATCTGCAATGTTTTACTTAAAAAAATTAAGCCCACAATGACACAATTATAACTAAAGCAGTGATCAAATGGCCTAATTTATTTTGTGGTGTTGCACATGTTCAACATGTGGTTGATTTGTAAGGAAGCCTATATTTGATGAGTAAAATAGTTTTTATTTAGTTTTCCCTCCGATAGGGTTGAGGAAATGGAAAAAAGTTTGTTTTTAAAAAAATAATTGAAGAACAAGGTGTGTGGATGTTTGAAATAGAGAGAGGGGACAGTAAAAGAAGAATGTTTTGGCTAACAGCCATCTTCAGCAGACAGGACGAATGAAGAAATGTTACTTCTGATAATAACATGAATATTGGAGAGCACTAGAGTTTTTTAAATACTTTCTAATTCTTGTCATTTCTTCATTTGCCGAAATGTTCTGTAATTGTCATATCTTTCAATTCATGCTTCCACATACTCTTTTCTTCTATCTCCTTCGCACAGCTTGAACCCATTCCTTCATTTATTACCCTTTGTTTTTGTAGGTGTTTAAAAAAAATTAATTTGTTATCATCTTGTTTGTTTAAGACTGTCTCTTCTCCTACATGTTTACTCTTGTCAACTAATCCTTTGAGTTTTACAAAATACAGGAGGTGTTAATATATTATAAAAATCAAGCCAAAGCTTAAATTGAAACCAAATAAAATCTCAAAAAAACATCCAGAAGGTATTTTAAGGTCAGGAAAATAATTATTAAAAAGTTGTTTTAAAAAAATGCCAATTACATGTACACATAAAATTAGGCATTAACGTTCTCTATTTAACACAACAGCAACAAAGCCAACCAAAAAATTTGGTGAGGTCAATTCAATATTTCTCATACAAAATAACATACAGATGGCTAAACCAAGCATTTAGTTACAAATATCTACAAGTTATTTAGTTACAAATATCTACATATTTTTACTAAGAGGCTTTCGGTAGAATGATTCTTGGCACATAACTAATGAATCTTCAGGTACTCAAATCCCATAACATTCACAGTTCCAACATTAAACTACGTCAATGTAAACTGAATCACTAACAAAATCTAAGAAGATGCTAGAAGCTGTATTAAATGACAGCCAGTGGTGAATATTAAAGTAAAAAAAACCTGAAGAGATGGATTTGCATGTACCATATATAAAAAAATTAAATAAATGAAGTTATAACATTAGTCACAAATTAAGAAAAAACAACAAGAGCAACTCACAATCAAAAGGTTTTGATATTTATAAAACTTTATTTAAGCTGAGATGTTCATATAAAGCACAAAGTAGTAATTTATTGTTATATCCCTGTGTAAACAATGTTATGAATTAATCATATAACATTGTTTTTTCTCATTGCATGAAGAATACAACAGTTTTAATTATACGGTCCACAAAACAAAGACATGTTGAGGAATAAAGAATAGATGAGGATTGATTGGTACCATGTTCTGCAACATCTGGATTTAGTATTTCTGGACCAGCGAACCACCCTCCAAAAGCAAGAGGAAATGAGGGCAGCCAGGCTAAGTCAGGACATGATACCTGAGGGTGGCCAGGTTAGTACAGGACATGATAGCTGATGATGGCCAGGTTAGTTCAGGACATGATACCTGATGGTGGCCTGGCTAGTTCAGGACATGATACCAGACTACAGACATAGAGAAGTAAAGTATGAAACTTGAAACGTTAGAGAAATTGGGAAGAGTAAAAAGAACTGGGAGAATTCAGAGAAGCTGGGAGCCCTCAGCAAGCTTTGGAGCAGTCAAAGAAGCTGGAAAAGGTCAGAGACATTGGGAGCAGGGAGAGAAACTGGGAAAATCAGAGGAACTGGAAGCAGTCAGAGAAACTGGGAAAATCAGAGGATCTTGAAGCAATAAGAGAAACTGGAGCTTGGAAATATCTTGTTCCACTTTTGCTTTTTGTCCCAGTTGAGGAACAAACATTAAATGATCACTTTACATCAACACAACTGATCTATTATTCTATTTATAAAGGGGTCCTCAAATTCCAGCCCGCGGTCCGGATCTGGCTACCAGGTTAACTTAACCTGGCCATTGTACAGGTACCGGGTAGCAGTCAGAAACTTGGAACTGGACATTGATCCTCTATTCTAATAAGCCAATAGCTGAACCATATATTTTATTGAAATACTATTATAATTATGTTTATTAAAAATTGTTCTTCATTAAAAAAGTTTTTTCCATATTTGTATTTTCCACTACAAATAAGATATGTGCAGTGTAGTCCAGTCCTTAATAGTAAAACGGCCCCCTGTTTAAAACTTTGAGGACAAACATGAGATGATCAGTTTAAATCAGCACAACTCATCCATCATTCTATTAATAATGTCATTTGATCCACCAAATGGAAAAAGAGTTTAAACAAAAAACATCAGAAATGATGTGAACATAAATATGGAAACTTGAGTGGTGAACATGAAAACACCAAAAGAATTTTGTTGATATAATATAAATATATTATTTTCATCTTGTTCATAATGACAACAATAAGAAAATCCATGCACACCTTGCTATGAGCTTTAACTGATGCACACCTTGCTAGAAGCCTGAACTGATGCACATCTTGCTATAAGCTTGAACTGATGCACACTTTGCTATATATAAGCTTGAACTGAAGCACACCTTGCTATAAGCTTTAAATATCAAACTTCAAAAGTAAACAAAGCTGGTGCAACAGGTTTAAAAAAAAAAAAAAACGGAAAATCAAAGAACAAAAAATCAATTAAATTTAGGATCTGTGTATTTAAAATTTCCAAGGAAGTCAGTTACACACACAAATAAAACTAACAAAGTTTGGCCCTAACTAAAGATATGCCATGAAAGATGAACAGGTATTAATTCCCCTTTGAATAAAAAAAAACCAAGATTATTTCAATGGTAAACAAAAGGTATCAACAGCCTACTCCCATTTTGACCTTGTTTTAAAGTAATAAATTTAATGAGGATGGATAATAATCTATTTACATGATCTTTTGTGACAAATGAAGGAAACATTTTTTTTAGTATGTACTGTGCTAAACAACATTAACACAAGATTAAGTCGACTAAGTTCTTAGATATTTCCCTTTGGAATGTTAATTTAAAAAAAAAAAAATTCTTTCACGAAAAAAAAGAAGGTTAAAATAGAAGCAGTATGTTGATATAAATAGCTGATTCATATGTAAAATAACTTAAAAACCCAATTGGAGAAATAAGTTACAAAATTAAAACCAATTAACATTCATTTAGGAAATCTTACTAGACAACATCTAACATTCGTCATTTCTAATTAATTAATATAAATAATTCTGAGAACTTTACATCCACCACCCCACTTTCCCCTAAAAAACATATATTTAAAAATACAAATTTTAACATATTTTCAAAATCTTCAGCCCATTCAAGTACTTCAAATTATTTTAAAATTTCAATTGAAACATAATGACAATTGTGAAAAAGAAATAAAACACTGACATCTTAAAATGTGACAACATGTTAAAAAAATAACGGGACTATTTAAAACTCATCATGAGGTATATCATTCTCTCGTCTATTTCTATTACCAGAATCATCATCATCCTCTTCCTCATCTTCATCATCCTCATCTCTTGCAGATATTCGAGATTTAGCCTCTGTTGGTTTAATGTAGATACCTTCGGCCGCCTGCCAATAGTTCAGATCATGCACATTGGGAAAAGCGCTAACCTCTCTCTGCCCATGAATGGGGCGGCCATAAGTGTCTCCTGACATATGCAGGTAGCTGAGGATTAAAAGGTAACACAGAATTAGTAATTGGTGCTGCCATAGGTGTCTCCAGGCATGCTCAGGTAGCAAAGGATTTAATGGTAACACAGATTTAGTCATTGGTGCAGCCATAGGTGTCTCCAGACATGCTCAGGTAGCTGAGGATTTAAAAGGTATCACAGACTTAGTCATTGGTGCAGCCAAAGGTGTCTCCTGGCATGCTCAGGTAGCTAAGGATGTAAAGGTAACACAGAATTAGTAATTGATGCAGCCAAAGGTGTCTCCAGACATGCTCAGGTAGCTGAGGATTTAAAAGGTAACACTGAATTATCTTCTATAGTGTCTCAAGACATGTGAAGGAAGGGTTTAAAATTAACATTAAGTTTTTAATGTAAAAAAAAACCAAGTTTACACAAGAATCAACAGCCATAATTTTTGTTTTATAATAATGTTGAGCTTGATAAAAAATGGAATTTTAACATGACTACATCACCATCAACTTGCAATATTTTTTTTTTACTACATGTGTCTGTGTCTGTTATGCTCTAAATAAGATGCTTCAGAATTTTTATTCTGATTGTTCTGAAGTCTTGGAGAGGGAAAGCTGTTACACAATATAAAGAGATTGTGGGTGACTCTAAAAGTAGAATCGAAGAACAGGGGTTGTACTCAAGCTCCTGATTATTCAGGGCCTCAGACAAGGATGCTTACTATCATGTATCCTGTATCCTGCTCAACATCACATTAGAAAAAGTTATAAGAACAATACATTTGAGCACACAACTGTCAAAAGCTACTTCTAGAGGAGCATTACAGAACTACATTTATCTAACTATTCAGTACCTGTCACATGTGGATGACATAGCACTACTGGACAGAAACAGCAATGAAATATTTAAAGCATTCAAGAAACATGATGATACCTCATTTAAAATGGTCTTGAGGTAAATGAAGTGAAGACAAAATATATGGTAATGTCAAGAAACACGAATACCACACCTTTGAGAGAGCGATTACTTTCAAATATCTAGGAACTACTATAAATGAGCACAATGAAATGATCTCGGAGGTGAAAGAAATGATAACAGCAGGCCACCATTCTTGTTTCAGCCTACCTAAGCTACTAGGAAGCAAAAACCTCACAAGAAGAACAAAGAAAGCAATATACACCACTATCATAAGACCAGTTGTAATTTATGTTTGTGAGACCTGGTCCTTTACCGGAAAAGCAGAGAACCTGCTCAATACATGGGAAAGAAAAATTCTCAGGAAAATATTTGGTCCAGTTATAGACAATCAGGTTGTACTATAGAGCATCAAAAGTGATCTACAGGCAAAAACCTAGGGGCAGGCGGCTGACCAAGACGGACTGATGATGTAGAGAAGGACTTACATCAGGCTGGAGTCTACTCAGCTGGCCGCAGAAAGCCATGGATCCACCTGAATGGAAGGATGTGATGTAGCAGACCAGGGCCCTACATGGGATGTAGCGCCAATGGTAATAATAATGGATGACTTTTCCAAAAAGTCCAAGAATTTTTTCAAAAGAAATTCAAAATAACTATTTACATGGAATGTGCTATGTTGTCATACTACCGGTAATGGAAATAAAGACAAATTAATAGCATGTGGCATCAGATTGTGATTGATGAAATTTTATATGGTGTATTTAAAATTTACTCCACATTTTATAATTTCTCAAAAACTCATGTCATCAAACCTCGGACATAAAGCTAAGATTTATGTAATGTTTTATATAAAAGTAAAATTAAATATTTAATAAATCAAACAAAAAAGAAGGGTTTTAATACATATTGGTCAACAAATTTCTCTCCAGCTCTGAAGATAAGAGGCAGAGATAATTTAAGGAGTTTTATTTTAAATATTTTAAACTTATTTATTTTTCCTACAGTTAAATATCAGAAGCATTTAAAAAAAATTATGGAATGCTTGAAGCAGGAAATAAAAAAATAAATATTTGTAAATACTATGAAACAACTCACTGTTCTGTAGTCACATGCTTGAATCGAATTTTGTCATTTCTGCTCCAATATTTGCTGCTACAAATGACCACCCAATTGTCCCCTGGAAAACATGAAAATAATTTTTTAAATTTATTTTTTTCAGTTGTATAATGGAAGTGCTAAATTCAAATGAACCATAAGCAATTTTTGATGGCAACATGTTTTGTTTCTCATTTAGAACTGTTCAAAGTTTTGTTTTTACTATTGAAACTTGGAATTGGCTAAATTTCTAGGACAACTGACTACAAACAGTTCAGATTTGTTTAGCCTGTGATAATTAACCCAGGAGTATGCACAAAGTATGCAAAAAGATTGAATGAATATACATTTTAAAATTATCGAGTAGGTAGTCAAAGATTTTAAATAATGTAACGACTAAACAAATTCATTTGTTAAATTCACCTTAAAATCAAGTAGACATTGCAAAGCATTATATTAATTTATTTCATCAACTACTAATTGCATATACAGAATATCACTAATCAGTACAACCTAGCATGTTCAGTTCATTCCTACAATGTTCATTACAGTAATACAAGGACAGAGCTAAACTCAAACAAAAGAACACATTTTAAAATTATTTAAAGGGACTCTAAATGTCCATAATTTTAGCCGTGTCTTATTTTCTCACACATGTGATGTGTAAAAGGACCTACTAAAATGATATGTGCAGCAGTCTACCAAGATGATATGTACTGGAGCCTACATAGGTGATATGTACAGGGGCCTACTGAGGTGATAAGTAAAACTTGTTTTTCTTTTAACAGTTATTCAAATAACCCTACCTTCATCTCCATCTCCATTCTCCCCAAATGCACTGACTTCCAAGTTCCTAGACAGAGGCGACTGAAAGTGATGGGAGTGAAGATTCCTTTTTGTGGCCACATGGGTCAGTCTGACAGTCTGTCCACATTTGATGGGATTCCTGGATCAAATCATCAATAGAAAGATTTAATGAAAGATGCATGCTGTAAATACCAGTAGTAAATCCACAAGGAATACTTCCGGTGACAGAGAAATGAAAGATGAGTGCTGTAAATACCAGTAGTAAATCCACAAGGAATACTTCAGCCAACAGAGAAATGAAAGATGCGTGCTGTAAATACCAGCGTTAAATCCACAAGGAATACTTTAGTTGGCAGAGAAATGAAAGTAAATCAGGACCATTCAGACAGAAAAGAAAAGGCGGGAGTCATCTATGAACAGAAAATGATCAAGGCAAAAGTTTCAAGACAGGCATATGACCTATTTCCTGTTCAACATCTACAGAATTTCACAAAAAAAAAAAAGGAAACATGTCAATAGTGACCAAAATAAAAATACAGAATATAAAATAAAAAATTAAAATTACTAGTAAAAATCTCACCCTCTTGTACAAATGGCTCCGGTTTTGGCATTCACCTGCCAGTAACTGTTGTGGTCATCAGAGGAATCAACTCCTGTAACTGACTGATTAAAAAAAAGCAGAATTCCTTGTTGATCCCAATCTATATTTAAGTGATATACATTTTTACAGATTTGTATTTCCTTATTTTTTTTAACAAGTATCAGCACCTATACTTCATCACTTTTAATTCATATTTTATTCCTTGATCTACTCCTGCCTATTGTAATATTTCTCTAGGGCATGTAGCAAGCTAATTCCCCCAAAAAACAAATTTTCTAGAATGAATTGCTAATCTTGCAAGCACATAATTCTGCATTTAAAAGAAACTGAATGTTTTAATTTCTTGAATCACTAAGTAACAGGAGTTAGGAGTTCAGCTAGTCATTCCGTACACAAGCAAAGTTTACTGGTAAGATTAGATGATAACACTTTGGAAAATATTGATATCAAATCTATTGAAATACATGAAGAAAGTGATAGAAAATCATATAATTAAACAACTATGAATCTAACTTAAAATTTTTACTAGGTTAGACAAAAGTGGTAAATTGTTAACAATAACAATGTCAACAAACCTGCTGACCACTTCCTGATCCATATTTGACATCGTGAGAATGCAGCCTTGCATTGTTCGCTGTGTTCATTATCTTCAAGGCAGATCCACATGTGACAAAGTCATAATCAAATTCTGCTGAGGACAAAATTTAAATGCAAATCACCTGTTTATCTCATTTAGTTAACTACTTATTCAAAGAAAAGGAAGAATGTGTGGGGGGAAATAAAAACCTGATGAATACAAGAAATTTCTTTAAAAGGTTCTGTTGTTGTATTTAAATGATTAGTTTGCTATCACTAAGCAAGACAAAACCTGGATCAATAAAATAAAAAAGGAAGTAATATTAGGAAAAAACGCAACATTTTTTAAAGTTAATCTTAAAAGGGCTGGTAATTAATTATGACTTTAAGGTAAACGTTTAATTCCAACAATTTTATTTTAATGTTTATTTTTGCTCCTTACACATGAGCAGAGAATAACATAATAAAAAGTTGTTTTTTTAAAATGTGAATTTTGTTGTGAAATTAAAATGTTATATTTATAATCCTTGTTCCAAACAAGCAATGTAATACTCTTAGATAGTGTAATGTCCCTCCATCTACCAATGTGAGATTTGTCCCCTTTTTGTGTTTTATCCACAATAGCTAAATGATATTCCAGTGGCATGAAAGCTCAATTTAGTAAACAGCTTTTATTGCCTTTTTTTATTTGATTGATCAAGTGGAATTTCATTAATTTTAGAAACTAATATCATTCAGTAAAGATGAAATGAGTGAGATTAGCACTTTTAAACTTTATGATAAGAGTTGACTTTAAATAAATATACAATCTTCACAACTAATGATCCCTAATGAATATGGTAGATTATGTCATCACTCTAAAAATAAAATAGTTGAGTTACAACAATTATAGAATTATAAGTATATTAAACACATCCCCTAAAAATATATGTTGCTTGAGTGTCTTAATAAAAAGTTTAAAACTTGAAAGGAAGTCCAACTTCAATAATAACAAAAATATATAATAAAGTCAATATTGCATTATTACCTAAATCCTGATTTTTTAAAACTTCTAATTCTTTTCTTCTGAATAATATTTAACAAATTGGGTGAAAGTAAAATCCCCTTAGTCGCGGAATTTTAATAGAGTTAACTTTTCTCTCTTTTTAAAAAAATTAATAAATTAATGCAATTTATTTTTTTAATAGGTGGCTTTTCAAAAATCATTATTTCATAGCATGGTCATTCCCGCTAATTCTATTACTATTGTTTAAAAACAATTCTTTTAATTATTACTGTTACACACCGCTTACCTTTTCCCTCCCCATTTATTCAGCTGTGTTGGGTACTACATATTTATAAAGGTCTGCTGTCATTACAAAAAAGAAGTATCCAACACAGAGAAAAAATGGTTTATCGCAAAGCCTAAAATGTGTTCTTGCATTAGTTAAAAATAGTAATGAGAAAATCGTAACTTTGAATAAATTAGATTTTTAATTTTACAATATTCAAAATAATGAAAACCCTACGTACAGTCTACCGCACATAAAATTATGGATGTCATTATTTATTGAGCACCATTTAAAAATTTCAAATAAAGTAGATACTTCGATGAAACAAGGGAAACTACTACTTTTTGTGTATCGGAAATGGGCGTCGGCGCCGAAAAATCCGAGTTTTTAATTTACCGATGTGTATGTCTATTTATTATTAAATTAGTTATTTCAACATATATTTGAGTTCTGTTTCCGGCCTTATAATTTGGAAGACATCTTGGCCTACATTTCTAGCCAGCTATTTTACTTTTTTCAATCGACCTTTATCTTTAAAATCTTTGGTATATATAAGGCATCTTCGCATAAAATTTTTTTTGTGAAATAATAAGATAAGGCCCTTTTTGATTAAATCTGTATAAGCTTTAGATAATGATCTATATCTGTGCCAAGTTTCATTGATGTCCCATGTTCGTTACGCTTCTCCCAGTGACCCATATCACCATAAGGTGGCTCAGCCTAATTTCGACATGGCGTAGGCCACACCCCCTTTTTAATGGCGGAAGTTGTCGATACTTAGGAAACATTTAATTATTACCACTATATACATCAAAATATTTTATATTTTGTGTTTCAGAATGCATTTTGAAGACATTTAAACTGGAATGTTTTAATTTGAGCTTTAAAAACCCTGTAGAGTCCATATTATAAATGATCAGAATTTTCCCTGTGCAACACGTTGTCATTGGCAACCATTCACAGCCACTTTCATAACGGCTATATCGTAGTACTATCTCAGAGTTTCATTCATAAGAGTTTGCCGTGTGCAAAAACTATTAAACCATTGGTCAGGGAAAGCTTTAATTAATTATTCATGTGCCAAAGTTGAAAGTTTAAAATAAGTCGACCCTAAACAGTATTTTAGTGATAAGGGAATGCCTTAGCCTTATATAAACTATATAGTCATTGCGCATGACGCGATCGGCGGAATGAGGTCACAGAATGTGGAGATGCAGTCCATGTTAAAAAAGGACAAACCAAGTCGTACTTTAAAAATTCATAACTTTAAAACTACAACAGCTAAAAATATGATTTTGGTGTTATAATTCTGTAAAAAATTAGCTCTATTCAATTATGCCATTCGTTTATTTTTACAAAATGTTTAAATATTTGACCAAAGTATCTAAATAAAGAGTAAAAAGACTTAAAAGATCAACCAAAAGATGTATTAGGTGAAACACAGGCTAAATGTCTGCTGTGTATAGTTAATTTCAGGTGGAACTATCTATTATTATGATTTTATCAGATTAAAGTAAAGGTAACAAAAGTAGCTGTTAAAGTACTTAAAAGTTAAAGTTAACTAAACTACTTTTTAAAACTTAAAAAAAAAATATTGAAAGTTTATCCAGAAGCGTAGTTATAATAACGGCGTGAAATATGCGTGGATAACAATTCAAAAGAACTATATAAAATCAAATAAAACAATTAACTAACTTGAACAATATACACTGTCAATTAAAAAGTATATTAGTAGGGTATAGAAAGCCTGAGCAAAGACGTTGTTGCCGGTGGGTGCCATGATCTCTCCTGTCTCCACGTAATGTTTAGAATAATTTCCATAACTCTTTTACAGAAGAGCGTCAAAAATAAAAGCCAATAAAACAGAAGAACGACATCAAAAAAAGTGACGCGGCATACACGAAGTGCAATCTGTACCTTTTACTTTTAGTTCGGGGAAAAAAACATTGTACATATCTGCTTGTATTGAAAATTTTATAGCAATAGCTTCATTGGTTTTAGTAATTATGTAATTTTGTTGTTAAATTAAATTTTTTGACAATTATCTTTATTCACGCTATATTATCATAAAATTATATTTTATAAAATATAATAAGTTAATTCACATTTAATGGGTTTTATTTTGTTAAACATTGTTTAAGTCATTTAAGTTTAAGTTAATGTCTTCTCGAAAAATTAGCGCGCTAACTTTAATAACCTAAAAAGATACCCCAAAAATAGTTTTAAAAATAATAATATTTCGATCACAGTTTAAAAAAAGTTAATTCAAAGCCAGATAGATGCGTAAAATAAATAACTAAAAAATTAATAACGTTTCTCCTATAAGTGATATAAAGAATATCTTAATGTCACTGGAAAGCTTAAAGGCAGCTCTTTCCAATGATATGTCTATGCTCTTTGTGTGTGTCAGGTGTAGTTGAAAATTTGAGTTGGAGTGCCACGCACAAAATAATAATAATAATAAATCCTACATTGTTTTATTAAAAGGCATGATACTTTTGGTCATATTTGGTCATTTGAAACGACTGTAAAATCTTGATAGAAAGCAGTGGCGTAGCTAAGGGGATGCGGACCGCACAGGTTGACGCCATCTCAGGAGATGACCGCACAGCGTGACGCCATCTCAGGAGATGACAATCAAATAAAAAAATTGCATATTTACAAAGCATACACTGCTCGGTCTAACCGAATTTTATAAAAGGATAACCGATCACAAGTAAATTTTACACACATGTTACCAATCCAAGTGATACGGTGACTGATATTGATTTTGAACATGTGATTGACAGGTTAGCATCTTCAAAGACCAGGAAAGAAACATTTTAAATACAGTAAAATTAATGTAAAAATAACTATAACTTTCACGTTATTACAGTTTTTAAATACATTTAGTCCTGACTCCTGACCCTCAATTAATTTGTCTTTGTTATTGTTATTCTGTGGACTTATTTCATCAAGAAGAAATCCATCGCGGAAATCGGGGGGAAAAGGGGTGGTTGTGACACCATGAATTTACCGCACCGAGTGACACCTACCCTAGCTACGCCACTGATGTAGAGGTTGCTAATTTTATCAAGATGCTGGTTGTGAACAACCTACATACCCTCATATGTCTCGGTTAAACTCAACTCATTTCTTAGTTAACCTGAGCAGAATTATTCAAAATAGCAACACTGGTGATTGATGACAGACGACTGAGGTGTCAAGGGAGCTGCGGTCCATGAAGGGAATATAGAAACAAACGTATATAATACAAAATAAATTGCGCGTGAATTAAGTGAGCAGAAAACACAAAGTTGAGACTAATTTGAACATTTACTAAGTTATCGGCTAGGAAACAATTATTGTTGACGAATTCAGGCACAAAATAAAATTTAAAATATGAATTACCGACTAGAATTATTTTTAGTGGGCAGACCTATTCACTATTTACTTTGTAAATTACAAGCCAGCTGTTTTGCACTGTCTCAACAAAAGTGAAGTTGTCCATCACAATCTAAAAAAGCAAAACGTGTACACGTTTTCAACGTCCATGGTTCACGACGTCAAGGTGTATTCACATGGGAATCAGAACTTTTTATTCACTAATGGAACGTTTAATTACGAGTATAATGTTATTGTTAGACTTACCAATTTTCTCTGTTTACCGTCGAAGGTTTCTTAGCTGTATCGACCTGATTTTTTTAAATTTTCCCTCTACTCTGTATGTTATATGCATATTTGCTATATAACAGTTTTAAATCCCTTTTTACCAGAAATTTCATCTCAAATGATTTCCTCCTAAAATTTCCCCTCAATCCAATGTCAGCTAATATCTCTGGTATTTAGGAACAGTGTTTCTTTCAGAAACACTACAGATTTTTCGGGGGGGGGGGGGGGCAGGGCCCGCGGATTTATTGTTTTTTNGAAAGTCTCAACCTGGCTTTAGGCAAGAGTGTAGCCATTCAGAGGTTTTAAACAGGAGAAGTGCTTTCTCTCCCCCCCCCCCCGAGATATAGCTGAAAGAAACCTTGTTTAGGAATAACATCTTATTCTCCCCCATTTTAAAATGTAACATACATTGTTTCTTGTAACCCTACTTGGTGAAGTCACTAGGGAAATTAACCTTACAAGAAATAAATCACGGACTAATCAGCCCCGAGTATGCAATGTAGGCCTACTTCATTGGTGTAGCTAAACTAACACAGACACCATGTTAAACTTATAGGCTATGTGCCTACGTAATTAAATTTTCTATCCTGTATGACTGTTTTTTTAAAAAAAGTGATAACCATAATACCAATTGTTCATGAGAAGAAATAGAGATACGGGTCATTAGGATCATTTAGAAAAAAATATTCTTAGGACATACCTGCAGCCCGTCCACACCCATGCAGCACACTCACACAAACGCATCACATTCACATATGCAGCACACCCACACACGCAGCGCACTCACAGACACACAGCACATTCACATATGCAGCACACCCACACCCATACACATGCAAAACACACACACACACACGCATCGCACTCACACACAGACACGAAGTACACCCACACATATGCACACACCCACACCCACATGCAACACACTAACATAGACGCAGCATACTCGCACCCACACAGACATATAGTACACCCACACATAATACACAGCACACTTACACATATGCAGCACACTCGCAGCACACAACACACTCATACACATGTTCACCACAAAAAAAATTATATATTAAAATTCAGTTTTTGAATTTGACTGTCATTCATGTTGTCATCTTTTCGTTGAATGTGTTAAGGATTTATTTTAGCAACCTCTCCATTTTAACTGCGAAGTGCTATACAAACGAATAGAAATAAAACTGTTTTCTATAGCTTCAGTTTATACTTAATTTAATACATTCAAAATGATAGGCCCTAAAATTTTAACCCCGAAACTGTCTATCTGTGGTCAATCACATGTGCTTTTCCTGAATGTGGCAAGGGGACACTGACAAGAAGTCTGAGAACCGCTACATAAGATCCACGCATCACCATATCTCTGCCGGTGAAGATAAAGCACCAATCTTTTGGTCTGGAAATCTCAGGACCACGATACAACACAACGGCGTCACTTCTTGGCACCCTGTGCCTGCTTTTTCTGGTTGAGGCGATACTTCTCCATGTCCTTCCTGGCATGTAATTCATACAACTCTAGCTAGGAACATGAGACAAGGGATGATATGGGTTAAACAGTTTTTTTTTTTTTTTTTTAACTTGTAGACACACATCGGGGGGAGAGATGAGATATAGCTAAAGATATTTGGACACATTTTTAACATATGGACACACACATCGGGACAAAGGATTATAATGTGGTATCAAAAAACCATACACATGTTTAACATATGCATTATATAGACATACACACGGGGGATAAATGATAAATGATGATATTGGGTTAAAGAGACATAGAAAAAAAAAGACAGATACATTCACATATAGCTTTTATAGGTCAGACGGATGAGATGTGGTTGACAATTCTGAGAAAATTATTCGAAATGCATATTCATACACCAGGGCCGGCGCCAGCGGATGGCGAAATGGGCGTTTGCAGGGCACCACGCGTTGCCGTAGTATATTTATAATATACCTAAGCCCTCTAATAGTTCCTAATCCAGTCAACACAATATTCGGAGTTATTAGATAGTCCAATGGTCTGAAGGTCAGTCTGACTCCCATACTGTTCCTTGGTCAGTCTGGCTCCCATACTCTCCATCCGAGATGAATCTCGGGAATCTATAACGTGTCTTAATATCCTATCGGCGGAACATATAACGTCAAACGGCCCGGCAAAATTCGATTTGCCCAAGACCCCGTACCCTCCTAGCGCCGGCCCTGCATACACAGAGTAAAATTCTATGCGTTGTTGGAGTGAACACGGCTGTCATTTCACTGTTTCCCACCAGAGGTGGATTCGTTGACACAAGCCAGGGTGAGTTGTCTTTAACAAGAAATCATTCTTTCTAGGGTTTTAGTTCACATGGTGGTGGGTCAGTTTTAACAAGAAATCATTCTTTCTAGGGTTTTAGTTCACATGTTGGTGGATGAGTTTTAACAAGAAATCATTCTTTCTAGGGTTTTAGTTCACATGTTGGTGGATGAGTTTTAACAAGGCATCTGATCAAAGGATGTCTTCCGTGAAAAAGGGGGGGGGGGTTAAAACAAAGACTTCAATGATCATGAAATGTAAATAACTCTGGTAATTCTGTTGACCTAATTAGGTCATTTAGAAAAGCCATACTTTTTTCTGACATCAGCAAAAATAGGTCATAGACAGACCATTCAGACTTTTCAGAACTGATGTATAGGCTGCCGAACAATGTCTCGTGCAGACAGAATGGGCGTGATCAAACAACAAACAGCCGACCAAACGCGTCACGTGACCTACCAGTCGTTTCAGCGGTCTTTGTCTCCGCTTCTCTCTCACTTTCTCCTGTTTTTTCTCCGATCTCCGTGGCTTACGGACATATATAATCCTGGATTAAACAGCAGTGTATCAGGAACAGTACAGATGGCCAATCGAAAAGGCGCTTTAACTAAAGGCGGGAGCTTCTTCATATCTACAGAGTGAGAGAGATGGTGAGAGAGAGAGGGAGGGTAGGCAGACATCAAGACAGACAGACATACAGAAAGAGAGAAGGCGACAGAAAAATACAGATGGGGAGGGGAGGAGAGAAAGAATACAAAAATCTACTGACCACCAGACAGAGAAAATACAACAGTACACTAACCAATAGGACATAGAGAATACAACAGCCCATTGACCACCAAACAGAGATAATACAACA